TTTTTGACCTACTATTTAGTCAGTTTTGGAAAATGGTTCATGGGCTGCTGAGAACCAAGTCTGTTCTTTAGTATTTATGTGTTTCCATGGATTTTTCTATAGAAGTCTGTTAGGTCCATTTGATTCATGACATCAATTATTTCCAGAATTTCTCTCTTTATTTGTTGTCTCAGTGACCTTTATCTCATAAGGGAGGGATGCTGAAGATTCCTACTTTGAATGTTTAAAGGTCAATATGTGATCTTAGCTGTCAGCAGTGTTTGATGCTGTGCTTTTTGGTACACAAATGATTAGAATTGTAATATCCTCTTGGGCCGACCTTTCCTTTAACAAGCATATAGTGTCCTTCCCTATCTCTTCTGATTGATTTGAAGTCTATTCTGTCAGATGTGAAAACAGCTATGACAGCTTGCTCCTTGGTTCCATTTACATGGAGTATTTTTTCCCTGTGGTACCTATTTCCAAAGCTGACTTTCTTGTAGAGAAAGATGGGGTTGTTTCTTAATCTATTCACCTAATCTATGTTTTTTGATTAGAGATTGAAGCTGTTAATAGTTATGGTGATTACTGAAATGTGTTTATAGATTACAGTAATTTTTGATTTTTCAGACTTGTGTTCTTAGTTGTGCTTTGTATTTCATTAAATTATAGCATTGTTTTTTTTTCTAGAGTCTCTTGGGTATTGCCTATTCTTCTTTTCATGTATGATGTTCACTATTCTTTTCTTTGTTATGCATTTTAAGGCTGTTTTTTTAAGGCTGTTTTGTATCCTTAAAGTCTTCCTCCCCCCCCCCTTTAACTACTACAGATACTTTTTCTGAATATGGTAGTCTAGGTTGTCAGTCATGGTCTTTTAAACTTGGAATGCATTACTCCAGATTCTTCTGGCTTTCAGTTTTCATTGAGAAATATTCTGATAGGTTTTCCCTTTATATGTGACTTATACTTTGTTTTTTGCAGTTTTAAATAATTTTTCTTTGTTCTAGATATTTAGTGTTTTTCAAATTATGTTTTATTTTACATATCACTACCAGTTCCCCCTCCTTCCCTACCTCCCTCCCATTCTCCCTAACTTCCTCCCTCCCTCCCATGCCTCCTGATCCCCCTCCTATCCCATCCCTCCCCCCACTCCACAGAGAGGGTGATGCCTCCCAGGAGGGATCATCAAAATCTGTCAAGTCATTTGGAGTAGGGAAAAGGCCCTCTCTCCTGCCTCTAGGTTAAGGGAGTATCCTTCTGTGGGGGATATGCTCCCAGAGTCCTTTTGTGCACCAGGGATACATCCTGGTTCCACTGTCGGAGGTCCCTTAGACTGTCAAGCCTCCTAACTGAGACCCAAGTTCAGGGGGGTCTGAGTTGGTCCAGTGCTGGTTTCCCAGCTATCAGTCTGGGGGATCCATTAGCTCCCCCTTGTTCAGATCAGCTGTCTCTGTGGGTTTCTGTAGCCTGGTATTGACCCCATTTTCTTTGTTTCTTTTCTTTTATTATTATTATTTTTATTTTACATGTCAATCCCAGTTTCCCTTCCCTCCCTCCCTCCCTCTTATCTCCTCTTCCCCCTCACATGCACCCTGACCACCCTCCCCTCCCATCCCCCTACCCCAAGTCCACTTGTAGGGCAATGCCAATGTAGGTGGGGTCATATAGATCTGACAGGTCATTTGAAGTAGGGACTAGGACTTCTCTCCTGTCTCTAAGTTAAGGGAGTTATCCCTCCATGGGGGATGTGTCTGCAAGGTCTTTTTGTGCACCAGGAATACATCCTGGTTCCACTGTCTGAGGTTCCTTAGACTGCTCAGTCCTTCTAGCTGAGACCCATATTCAGGGGGTCTGAGTCAGTCCCATGCTGGATTCCAAGGTATAAGTCTGGGGCCCATTAGCTCCTCCTTGTTCTGGTCAGCAGTCTCTATGTGTTTCTGCAACCTGGTCTTGTCCTCTCCCTCTGCATCTAGATTCTAGTTTGACTCAGTGTTTAGTTATGGGTGTTTGCTTCTGTTTCCAACAAGTACAAGATGAGGGCTCTATGATGGTGGATAAGTTAGTTGTTGATCTCACTATCCAGGAAGGGCGTTTATGGTAGCCTTTCCATGGTTGCTCAAATTGTTAGTTGGCGGCAGTCTTGTAGGTCTCTAGACCTTTCTTTAGGTTCAGTTTTCTCTTCAACCCAATAATGGTTCCCTCTTTTATGTTCTCTCTCTTTCTTTCTGTTTTCTCTTCCTACCCTGACTCAATCTTCCTAATCTCATGGGCTTTCTTCTCCTCCTTTTCTCTTTCTCCTACTTCTCTCTCCATTCACTGACCCCCCCCCACACTTCCCATGTGCTCTGGGGGGCTTATTCTTTTCCCCCTTCTGTGAGGGACTTTATATGAATCTCTTAGAATACACCTTGTATCCTAGTTCATCTGGTGGTGTAAATTATAGGCTGGTGATCTTTTGATCTAGGTCTAAAATCTATATATGAGTGAGTACATACCATGTTCCTCTTTTTGTGACTGGGTTACCTCATTCAGGATGGTTTCTTCAAGTTCTATCCACATGCCTGAGAATTTCAGGATTCCATTATTTTTTTCTGCAGAGTAGTATTCCATTGTGTAGATATGCCACATCTTCATTATCCATTCTTCAATTGAGGGGCATCTAGGTTTCTTCCAGGTTCTTGCTATTACAAATAATGCTGCTATGAACATAGTTGAATAGATGTCTTTGTTGCATGGATGTGGATCATTTGGGTATATGCCTAAGAGGGGGATTGCTGGGTCCTGTGGTAAACTAATTCCCATTTTCCCGAGGAACTACCATACTGATGTCCAAAATGGCTGTACGAGTTTGCACTCCCACCAGCAGTGGAGGAGTGTTCCCCTTTCTTCACATTCTCTCCAACAAAAGTCATCACTGGTGTTTCTAATTTTAGCCATTCTGGCAGAAGTAAGATGGTATCTCAAAGTTGTTTTGATTTGCATTTCCCTGATAGTTAAGGATGTTGAGTACTTTCTTAAGTGTCTTTCAGCCATTTTGATTTCCTCTATTGAGAATTTTCTTCAGTTCTGTACCCCATTTTTAAATAGGGTTGTTTGGTGTTTTGTTGACTAGTTTCTTGAGTTCTTTGTATATTTTGAGATCAGCCCTTTGTCAGATGTAGGATTGGTAAAAATCTTTTCCCAGGCTGTGGGTTGCCGTTTGGTCTTGTCCACTGTGTCCTTTGCCTTACAGAAGCTTCTATGTTTGAGGAGTTCCCATTTATTAATTATTGATCTCAGTGTCTGTGCTCCTGGAGTTATGTTCAGGAAGCGGTCTCCTATGCCAATTTGTTTGTACTTTCTCTTCTAAAAGGTTCAGTGTTGCTGGATTTATGTTGAGGTCTTTGATCCATTTGTACTTGAGTTTTGTGCCTGGCGATAGACATGTTGACCCCATTTTCTTATCACTCCTCCCTTTGTGCAACTGGATTCCAGGGGTTTGGCTCAGTGTTTATCTGTGGGTGTCTACAAGGATGACTCCAACTAAAAATCTGAGCAATAAAGAGTGTACCTTAAATGCTCTTCCCTGAAAATGAGATTGATGACTGACTTATCTGCCATCATAGAGCCCTCGTCTAGTAGCTGATGGAAACAGAAGCAGATATTTAGTGTTTTAATTATGGTATGCACTGGGCTGTTTTTTCCCTTCTGGTCTCATCTAGTTGGGGTTCTGTGTGCTTCTATGGGTATGTCTTTCCTTAGTGTGGGGAACTTTTCTTCTATGATCTGGTTAATGATCTCATCCTTGCCATTGACCATTCTTGTCCCTCACCGAAGCCTGTAATTTGAAGGCTTGGTCTTTTCATAGGGTCTGAAAGTTACTGCATGTTCCTTTCCTGTGTTTGTTTAATCTTTTCATGCTCATTATTTTGCCTAGATCCTCTACTTTTGAGTTCTGAAACTCTGTCTTCTCGATTCATTCTACTTGTAAGACTGTTCCCCGAGTTTCCTAATTGAGATACTGTTTTTCAATTCCTCTTCTTTTCAGCCTGTATTCTCTATACTATTTATATCTCTTTATTGAATTCAGTGTTCATTTCATTCAGCTCTTATCCTCTTGGAGTTCAGTGAAGTGATTGTTCATGCCTACTTTCCATTCCTTAAGTTATCTTATAAAGTATATGGTGGTTCTTTTAATTTCTGTGTACTGTGTTTATTCAGGTAGTTCTTACAAATACCACTTCTATATGCTGTTTAGGCCATTGGTGGTATTTTTGTAGTCTGATCTGGACATGTGGACTTATTTCTTTGGTTGTTTTTCTGATGTGATAAGCAAGCTTTCCTTAGATTGGTCCAGCATAGGAACCTTGTGTAAAGCTGGTGGATGAGCTGTTCAACTGGACCAGGCAAAATCTGCTATGAAACCACAGGTCTGGAAGTAGGCTTGTGAGTGCTGAGATGACCACAAGGTAGAGGGAAGGGTAGGAAAAAAAAGGGGGGTGTCTCACCCTTCAAAGGTGGCTTTTGAACAAAGCAGGTTAAAAGTTCACCTAACTGGCCCTAGGCCTATGGGTGTGAAGATGGCCATATGCAAAAGGGAAACAGGAGATAGAGCGGGAATGGGAAAGGAAAGAAGCCTGGCAAAGGTGGATTATATGCAAAGAGGGTTTGCATCCCATGGGTTTTGAACTAGCTTTATAGAATTGCTAGTTGGGGAGGGGCTTTCTTGTCTTTTTAATACATCACAGTCTTCTCAGGAAGGCACCTCCTAAGCTCTTGGGTCATTTTAGTTTTCTTCTGTAGTGATTTGTGGTTCTTCTTTCCCTGTTGTATCTAAATGCTGTAAACAGTTATTTCCTGTATTTTTCTATGGCTTCTAGTTAGATTGGAAGGGGAAGTAGACTATCAGCTATTCTATTAAGCATTGTAAGTGTTTATGGATGCTAATGTCTGTACATGCCTCTATTGTTAATATATTCCTAGATTACATAGCTCTATAATTATGTAATGTACCAGTCACTGTCATGTATTTTCCTTCCCAGGAATGTGGGCCCAAAAGCTGTTGTGAACCTAGGACTTGTGTTCTGAAACCAGGATATACTTGTGACAGCATGTCTTCCTCACAAACCTGCTGCCAATCTTGTAAGGTAAGATTCAAGTTTAGTAACACTATGTAAGCATGTACTGAATCATACAGAGGATGTATTGACTTATGACTATAGTTTTACGTGAAAGCAAATTACCTTTTAAGGGAGAAAAAAGCTATTAAATCTAGGGTTCAATTTCTTATTTTGTGACATTTTCTTAAGTATTGCAGTCTCTGCTGCCATCACTATTTTTTTTATCAACTTGGAGCCCCCCCCCCTTTGTGTGTGGTAGTTTCTGTTTGTCCTGTACTGCTTGATCTCATTCTGTAACCCTGGTTGTCCTCCAGTTTACAGCCCTCCTGCCTCAGTTTCCCAAGAACCTGGGCTTACAAGACTACCAGCAGGTTCAGCTAACCAAATAGAATTGTCTGTTGTTTTAAAAATTGAAGTGTGGACTTCACACTCAGGCATTTTTATTATTGAGAGATACCTTGTTGATTGCTGATCCGTTTCCTTATGCAGATCTTCCCATGTGTTTTGTCATAAGTTTCCCATGTGCAATTACTGCAGTTGAACTGCCATTCATGCTGTCTTCTTCATTGTTCTCAATGGACACAGTTATGATTGTTTTTCTAGAAACTCATGCCTATATTTATGATCTGTGGGGTTTTTTAAAGTGTCAAATGATAATAATGATTAAAAAGTATAAGATGTCCCTTTGAGATGTTTTTATGTAAACTTGCAGACAGAATTCTCTGTATGAAATAGTATAATGTAACAGAAAGGTTGAACTTGGATTTCTTTCTCAAATTCCCATGGTTCCAGTGCCTCTTCAGTAATCATCCATCTGCCCCCTACACTCCCCTCAGTTATGTTTTAATTTGTAGCAGAATTGTAAGTATTCAATAGTTGCAAACTATGATATAAGCATTTTTATGTTTTGAAATTGACTTAACTAAAATATTTTCACTCCACCAGACTAGTTTCTAAATAGACAGTGGTTCTTTTTCCCTTGAGTGAAAGCACACACACATCATGCATATAGATAGACACATACACACACACATACACATAAACACACACACATATACATACATGCACATACATACTCAAAGGCATACACTTGTGTGTGAGTGTATACATGCGTGCGTGTGCATGTGTGTGTGTGTGTGTGTGTGTGTGTGTGTGCGCGCGCGTATGTGTGCATGCCCACCCTGGCCTGTACAGGTGACATGGCCTGTATGAGAGCCAGATGTTGACACTGACATGTTTTTCCTCTATTGCTTCTCTACCTTGTCTCTGCCTGTTTCTTTGTGCAAAATTTGCTGTTTCAACTAGACTGACTGGTGCATGAACCTTGTTATTTTTTTATCTGACCCTTGCCCCTGCACTAGGATTATTGGTGCACACTGCCATTCCCATCTTTTATGTGAGTTCTGGGAATATGAATTTTCAGGACTTCACAGCAAGTACTTTTCCCATTGAGTCAACCCCTAACTCCAAATCACATTTTTGTTGTATCATTCTTTTTTTTTTTTTAAAGATTTTATTTATTTGTTACATATAGTGTTATACCTGCATGTTTGCTTGCATGCCAGAAGAGAGCACCAGATCTTATTTTAGATGGTTGTGAGCCACCTTGTGGTTTCTGGGAACTCATGACCTTTGGAAGAGCAGCCAGTGACCTTAACCTCTGAGCCAATTCTCCAGCCTGATATCTTTCTTTATATATCTGTGCCTTATCTCTTGTTTTCATACAAACATACAATTTATTTTTAAGTGAATAGCACAAAAACATATACCAAGAGATTAAAAAACACTAAGGAATCAAAAGAATATATAATCAATACTGTTTTGAAATACTTGTGAACACAGTATTGTTACATATCATTTTTTTTTCCTGTTAGTTTTTACCAGCAAACCATGAATGTAGACCCCCAAAACATTCAAAATGTGATTTCCCTGAAGTCTGCAATGGGAGCTCTGGATTTTGTCCACCTGATATAAAAATGCATGATGGCTACACCTGCAGAGATGGTGGGTCCATCTGTTTTAATGGAGACTGTCCTGACATGAATAAGCGCTGTGAGGAGATATATGGACAAGGTAAATTTTTTTTGTTACATTTAAATCACTGACTTACTATTTCTTTTCACATTGCCAGAAAACAGGAATTATTATATAGATTTCAATTTTTATTTAATATTTATATGGTTTTTAAAGGCATTTTTTACTGAAGTGTAAATGTCACCTTGAAATTTGATATCTTTATATATGCTTAGATATTTGCCATAGTCAAGCTAATTAAAATATATACATATTCCCAATAGGTTCTGTTTCTCTTTAAGCTTTAAATAAAATCTTAAGATTGAAGTTCTTAGTAAATTTCAAGTGTACAAGAGAGTATTATTTCCTATTGTCATACTGCTGTATTTTAGATCTTTTAAGCTGAACCATTTTACACAAATCAAACTTTGAACCTATTGACTGACATCTTTCCCTCTTTACCCCAGTCTCTAAAAACTAGCCTTTCATACTAGCTTCTGTGAATTTGACAGTTTCAGATTTCACATAGAAGTGAGATGATGTTGTTTTTGCTTCTGTACCTGGCTCATTTCACTTAGCATAATGTCTTGTAGATTCATTCTTGTGACAAATAACTTCATCTTTCCTAAAACTGAATCTACCAATCTGTCTGTCTATCATCTATCTGTCTGTCTGTCTGTCTATCATCTATCTATCACATATCCTTTCTTTTACAAATTATGCTTAACCTTTTCATTATTCTTTAATTTGTCAATGGACCATTATGTTATTTTAAAATCTTGATGATAGTGGAAATGTATATAACTCTTTGAGAAAATGCTTTCATTTCTCTTGAGTACATCAAGGTGGGATTCTGAATCAGGAGATAATCCTGTATTGAGTTCTTAAAGAAGTGCCATACTGTTTTCAGTAGACTCTCTACCAGCATATAATTCTGCCAGCAATGGCTGAGTGCTCCTATCCTGTTCCCCACATGCATACCAATGTTAACTTTTGTCTTTTTTGACATTCACTCCAGCATCTGTGAGGTAATATTTCACTTTGATTATTATCTTGTATTTGCTTTATTAGTAATGCTGAACAATATTAAAAATACTTGTGACTGCATTGGTATGCTCTGTGGAAGCCAGTGGGACATCTTGCCAGTTTGGCCACCAACTGCCATTTTTTCCAAACCTTTCTGAAAAAGGAAATGCAGTAGCGTTTCTCTCCACATTGCGAAGAAGTAGCTCCTGTCACACAATTGTAGAATGGAGGGCAACCACTTCCAGATCCAACTGAACCTCTGACCCCAAGACCATGTGTCCTCTCATATACCCATACTACAAACTTGAGTTTTGCAACTTCTCAATCCTTTATATTGTTTCAGACCCCACATTGTATACCCTCAAACTTGGCAAGTGCTGTAGATAAAGACTAATCATTTTCTGGGCCCTGCTCTAAGCTATGAACCCCAGCTCTGTAACCATTGCACATATACCTACATCTCAGGCACTTAAACTAGACTCACAGAAAACCAGCCAACTCCCTGGCACTGAAGTTGTAGATTTTTGTGCGTTTGTCCTCTATGTAAGAGACTTATTTGAGCTTTAAAAGTCTATACATAGATTGATAAGAAGAGATGGGAAAGACTTTTTATATAATGATGAAGACATCAGTTCATCAAGAAGATATATTATATATCTATGTGCACTTGGTGTCAGAATACCTAAACATATACATCAAGTATGAAGGCTTGGAAAGAACATTCCAGGGAGAGAAATATAGCCAGTGTTTTAGCACTTCATGGAGTGTGAACATGGTATGGGACATGACGATTGGAAAACACATATTTCTGACATTTACTTTTATTGCTTCTTAATAACTGTAATTTTGCTAAAGGATGGTGTCTCAGTTTCCAAGACTGTCAGAAATTGTGTTTTCTCATGTTTGTGACACACAGATTGAGACCTGTTGACATAAGTCCTGGTGGGTGTATGACTGAAATGTAGTCTATCAGGGTCAGAATTATTATTATTTTTTTGGTTTTGTTTTTCTGTGTAGTGATAAATGAGTTGAGATATTTAAGTAAGAGACCAAAACTATGGTTTTGATTTAATAAAGAGCCTAGTAGTTGTATTTTGGTAGTAGATAGTATGTGTGGGAACTACCAGAAAATAACAATGGTAGAGAAGATGAGACATGACCACACTTAGGCTGTGCTTGTGACACTTGGTCAAGAAGATTCCAATTAGGAGATGGAGGCAGTTAGGATGGGGAAGTAGATACAAGGACCGTTTCTAAGTTTGGCCTCATCATCCAACTGACTAATGGGATAAAATAAAAGAGTAAAGGGCTAAAACAGGGTTTGGTTTGAGATATTAGGTTGAAATGCCTATTAGTCAAGGCAAAATCAGTTCTATGTCAGGTAAGAAAGCTAACCTTTCTGTAGGCTCTTTATCTCAGCTAATGTGGAATGAATGACCTACTGTGTTTAATTATCTCTGATAGTTGTCAGGGGAGGCAATGTTAAGCACTTTACCTACTCCATGATATATATATTTTTTGAAGCATTATCTCATTGTTTACAGTAATAACCCAATGTTTACTTATAAATAAATATGCAATATTTTATTACCATAGTCCCCTCTCTCAATTGCAATCTATTAAAATGCATCTATTATTTGATTGTATTTAATAGGACTTGATAATGTAGTACAGGGAATTGAAATACACTATCTTGTTCCTGAACAGGTGACTTCTGTTACTTAGGGGACTTGGTAAATGCCCCAGATTTAAGGCAAAGTTTATATGATGACTTCACATTTGTAAACAACTTTCCTTTTAATATCTCAGTATCACTGTGGGGAACTAAGTGTGATTAAAAGTGAGTCGTTAATCCTGATGGAAAAGGGTGTCTAAGACATACTTTCCATACTAGTTTCATTCCCAGTGGCTATGATGAAATACCCTCACTAAAGCAACTTGGGGGAGAAAGGGTTTATGAGTTTATGGTTCCAGTCCATCATTTCAGGAGAGTGTGAGTTGATTGAGACAGCTGGTCACAGCACATCTACTGTCAAGGGCAGAGAGAATGAATGATGCATGCTTGCTTGTGCTTACCCCTGTTTCTGTACTTCAACAGTTCAGGACCCAAATGGTAGGGACTAACACTACCCATGGTGAACTGGGTCTTCCCTAATCAAACCTCACAGAGGCATGCCCTCAGGCCAGTCTGATCTAGATAGTCCTTCACTGAGACACTATATTAGCATGTTGACATTAAAACCAACCAGCTTACCTCCTATGTTTTAGAACCTAACCCATCTCCTATTTTCTAGCACATCCTATCAACGCTCCTAAGTTCCAAATCTGTCAGTGGATTAATCCCCTGATTAGAGCAGATAGTCACGGTGCATGCATTCTTCCATGATTTCATACAGTTCCCAAGACAAAGCCTTCAGCCATAAGACATTTGGGAAGACTTAACCTCCTATAACTCTTCTCTTGCATATTTTATATTATGGAATATAGCAAAGGAATGTAGCAAAGCAGCATTAAGTTATGGTCATGAACACCTTTCTTTTAGTTCTTTCTCTGTCCTTATAACTTACTAGGAAACCTTTTGAGTTAGGTAATAGATACAGAGGTAGACGAAGTATGGTGTATGAGGACATGGAGGAACTTTATATACATATTAATCTATATATATATTTCTAATTTTGATAGGTTCACGGCTTGCTCCATTTTCCTGCTATGAAGAAATTCAGATTCAAACTGATAGGTTTGGCAACTGTGGTAAAGACAAGCAAAACAGATTTATATTCTGCGGATGGAGGTGTGCCATACAAAATGATGATGTTTTCTATGTTTTATATTCTTTTTTTCCTTAGCTTTCCTCTTTAGTGTTTACCATGAATTCCAATTGTTTCATGTACCCTATTTTCATAGCAGTGAGTCAAAGCTGGCCAGAATAAAGGTCCAGGCCTAGACATTGTTTTGCTACAAGATAACATACAAAGTATTTATTTGTAGGTGATCATTTGGCCCCTAAATCCAATCTGAAACTTATACTCAAAATGCCCACAGAACCTTTCCCTCCAAAGTTACTGTTTTCCTTGCCTATAAAAATGATTCCTAGCTGGGTGTTGGTGGCTGACACTTTTAATCCTGGCACTTGGGAGGCAGAGGCAGGCAGATCTCTGTGAGTTCGAGGTCAGCCTGGTCTACAGAGCTAGTTCCAGGACAGGTTCCAAAGCAATACAGAGAAACCTTGTCTTGACCACCCCCCAAATCACTTTGGTTGACTACATATATATAAAATTAAGCTCAATTTCTCATGCATGCTCAGAGAGATCCTTTTCATATTTTGCTTGAGTTTAGTAAAAATATTAAGATCCTATTACGCACTACACACTGGGTTAAATAATAGCTGGCAGCACACTAAGACACACAAAAAGACATACACATGCACACAGACACATACAGACACACATGCACACAGACACATACAGACACACATATGCACACAGACACATACAGACACGCACACACACGCACGCACATGCACACACGCGCACACGCACACACGCATGTACATGCTCATGCCATTTGTAGGTTCTTAAACACACCATGGCCTTTGAGGTTTCCTTGGATTGCTTGTACTTCCTGGTTAAAACTAACTTGTAAGTATTGGCTCTGTAATGTGTACATAGCTTTCTGGAATTGATAGGCTAGAATACCACCTTGTTTTAAATTTCTATAAGGACTTATTTTATTTATGGCATTATGGTAGGATTTTTTTATCATGTTTAATATCAGTTAGTAAGGTCCTGAAGGTACATTTAACAAATTTATTCATTCTCTACTTCTAATTCATTACTTGACAGTAAATATATAATCTACAGAATAAACAAAAGACTGAGTAATAATGAATGGTTTGTATCAATGGGTTTAAACTTTGTACCTTAAATATTTATACAAACAAATCATATCTTGTCTATGTTGGCATAAATGCAGTTGTGGTTTTTATTCAAAACCACATAAAGCATGTGTAATAACCACCTAGTGCACACTAATCATTTTCATGTTTTCAGGAATCTCATATGTGGGAGATTAATTTGTACTTACCCCAAACGAACTCCCTATAACCCACCTAATAACAGCACTGCCTCTGTGATTTATGCTTTTGTACGGGACCAAGTGTGTATCTCTGTAGACTATGGATCGAGTGTCAAAGACGACCCACTCAAGGTCATTAATGGCACTATATGTGACCAAGATAGGGTAAGTCACTTATAACCAGTTTCTTAAAAATCTAGTTTCATTTATTATTTTGGTACAAATCATCTTTGATTTGTACCATGTAACCCTAAATGTTTGGAGGGAGAAACGAATGTATTTAAGTGATGTTTAGCTAGGAATAGAGAAACAGAAATGCTTAATTCCTTTAGCACTTCGGCATAATGAGTGATGGCTAGAATATGGAGAAGAAAACCTCTGGTACTATATTGCGCTTGAGTGCTTCATAGTGTGGAAAATAATTTTTTTATTTAGAAACAATTTTATTTTACATATCAATCCCAGTTCCCTCTCTCTCCTATGCCTTCCACCTCCCATCCATTCCCCAGGGAGGGTGAGGCCTTCCATGGGGAATCATCAAAGTCTGTCATATCATTTGGGGCAGGGCTGAGAGAGTATTCCTCCATGTGAATGGGCTCCCCAAAGTCCATTTGTGCACTAGGGATAAATACTGGTTCCACTTTCAGAGGTTCCATAGCCTCCCCATTTACTTAGTCTTGGTGGCTTAGTGGAGTAGATTAGGCCACGCTTGGAACCAGGATGCTTAGAGTCATTGTACGACATTTAACCAGTTACCTGAACAATGTGAGATGTTTCTAGAATAAGTAATTTTGGGGGATAATAACAGCATTTACTCTATAGGGCTATTGTGGAGACTAAAGAAGATTACATATCATGGATAGAACAATGCTTAGCACATTGTTTGAGTTAGGTATAATTTGGCTGATTGTTCTAATTTTAATTTACATCAATGACCCAACTCAAACCTGTAGCACAATTAATAAAAGATCCAGATCCAGGTACTGGAGTTTAAGCTTCAAGCTAAAGATCAGAAAGCAAAGCAGCCAGCCACTAGCTCTTACCTCTATCTCAGGCTGAAAGGGCTGTCCTGTCCTCAGCGTGGCTGGAGAATAAATCTCCAAGACTGACTTTGCTTCTTTCTTATACCTCCCTAGTGCTGGGATTACAGATGTGTGATCCCAAGTGCTGAGGTCACCTTTGTATGAACTGTTCCTCTTGAAGACAGGGTCAATTTCCTGTAGCTCAGTGTGGCCTTGTACTACCTGCTTGACTTCTGAGTCCTGGGAATAAAGGTGTGTGTCATCACCACCTAGCTCTATGGCTAGCTGTTATGGCTGCTGGGACTAAAGGTGTATATCACCACTGCCTAACCTCTATGTGACTAACTTTGCATTTTGATCTCCAGCGAGATCAAATAATTCACCACACATACCTGCAGGAAATATGAAGGGAATGAATTTACCTCAAAAGCTCATTTAATATCTGTTTGTGCAGAAACATGTTATATTTTATTACAGCTATTGACTCCCCAGACCACATGAAAGTTATTTAAAATACCAGCCTATATAATTTTGGTTTAGATTCATAGCACTGACATCATAACAGTGTGCTTGTTACAACCGATGAGCCCACAGGTACACATCCCAAGTCTTTAGACCACTTTGGGTGTACCTGGATAATCTCCAAATATTCAGTGTAATATTCCCAAATATCACACTGGTCAAAAATCAAATATCAATAGAATTTTAAAAGATATTTTGTGGATGATGGTGGCATACATATTAATTCTAGCACTCAGGAGGTAGAGGCAGGCAGATCTCTGTGAGTTCCAGTACAGCCTGGTCTACAGAGCGAGTTCCAGGACAGCCAGAGCTGTTACATGAAGAAACCCTGTCACAAAAACCCCAATATTTATTTATGTGCATATACATATGCACATATATGTGTGTATATTTTTCAACTAGTAAAAGTATAACACCAACATTTGAGGAATGCTGCAAAATTACTAGACTCAAATTATAGCAGTGAATGGTTATGGTTTTGATATTAAATTTCTAATTAAAATGTTAAGATGGATGGATACCTCTGAATTGGAAACTTCTTTCTGTTTTCTTTAGATTTGTTTAAATAATGTATGTGTAGAATCAAGATTTATAAAGGATAAGTTCAATGTATGTGTAAGCAAGTGCAATGGAAATGGAGTAAGTAGCTGCATGTTTCTTGGATGTTTCTCAGCATCAGTAATTTATTGGTCTCATTTGGTGTCCACAGTGTGCCAAGGCCTATTGGCACTTGGGAGCTGAAATGAATAGTCAAACTCTGCTGCTATAATTAGTGTTAGAAAACATTTTTGGTTAAGTCCAACTGACTTAGAAAACCTCTGTTGCAGTGGGGCACACTTTCCCAAAGGCATTAAGAACCTGAGTAGCCTGTTTACTACAAGGAGGTAAGTCTCCTGTTTGTGAGTCTGGGTTCACAAAGACATCAGCTTTGTCTCTTTTGAAAATGCATCTTTATATTTATAGGAAAACACATCTCCATGCTTACAGAAAAGCCAAGTGGCAAGTACAAGCCCCCCTCCCTCCCCACATGGTCATTGTCACACAGCACAGTGTTATATTAGTTAAATCTGGTTATAGGCTTCAACAGGTTATTGTCACCCAAAGTGCCTGGTGTTTAACACTAGATTCTTAGAATCAGTCAGCATCTTTCATCTGTGGGCTTTGATGAACATATGATGGCATACACTATCACCACACTGTGTAGTGTTGGTTGCTCCAAAACCCTGTGTTCAGCTTATCTACTCTACTTCGTCCTCTAACTACCAGCAGCCTCAGAAGCCTCTCCTGACTTCACAATGTTTCTGAACATACACTTCTCCAAAGAAGCAATACAAGTAGCCAGCACATGTCTGGAAAAAAATTTGCTCACTCCTATTCATTATCAAGGAAATACAAATCTAAACAACAACCTGAAATCTCACCCCAATCAGAATGGCTGTCCTCAAAAAGGCAAAAAGTAACCAGCACTGTCACAGATGCCTAGAAAAGGGAACTGGTGGTGGTGGCTTTTCATTGTCAACTGGATGAGAGCTAGAATCACCTAGAGATGCACCAGGGGTTTATGTGTGAAGGACTTTTGAGAAAGGTTTTAGAAGGCAGCAGAACCTTCCCTTTCTCTGTTGCTGCAGTGGATACATGCTTCTAGTTTCATATAGCATAATGCACAGTTACACCCGTTTTGTACAAGTGATGCAATTTCTTCTTCATGACTGAAGGGGATTCCGAGCAGATGGACTTCTTTATCCATTCATCTGCTGGTACTCATGTAGGCTAATTGCATAATTCAGCTGTTGTGACGATACTGCAATCAGTCTGTGTATGCAGTCACTTCTATAGGAAGCTATCTTTGATTCTTTAAGGTCATGCATCCAGATGTGATACAGCTGCATAACACAAAAATTCCTTAGCCATAGTATAGAAGGGCTCATGCCCTGCTCTGCATCCTTGCCAGTATTTCCTGCTGCTTGTTTTTTTGAATAGATGGATAATTTTTTCCCAAGAAGCCAAAAGTTATTAAATGATAATCCTACTTACTAGGTATGGGATAGCTCCCTGTGAGCTGTTTCTCAGGGGGTTTCCAGAGCACCCCCAAACCCTTAGATGCTGTGGTCAGTGTTGCCCCTGGTTGTCTACCAGCACAAGAACATACAACACTGTTGTTGAAGGTACTACACTCTTTGATCGCAAGGCATTGAGAAATCAAAATGGGTAGAAGCTAAAGTTTTCTCCAGGTTGTCTAGCTCTCATAGTGCTGTGAAGTGCTGGCAAGCAGCTGAGAGAGAACATTCAGCAAGGATACCACCTACTTGTGTACTCTATGGGCTACAATAATGACCTGCTTGTCAAGACATGCCCATTGGAGCAATAATGGCTTGAGTATTACGGGGTAACCAACTGCTTTCTGACTAGACTTGAGGCCTGCTTCACAGTAGGGAACTCACATCTTGTACTGTAACCCTGTTGAGAGTCCCTAATGGGAAGCTGCTATGGTCACTTTACCAAGTGAACATAATGTTCCCCTAAATATTTGTGCCCACAGATCAATGTCCCTGTTAGCTTTGGCCAGGGAAGATTCTTTTTGCAGTGGTCATGACAGAATTCTAACTGATCAGAGTGCAGGGAGTAAGAGACTGTGGGATGCTCAGCCCTAAATAAGGCATCTAGACCCCAAACCCCTCTCACCACATGCTCATTAAAAAATGGGGAAGAGGGATCGAAAGAGCACAGGAGACTTCAAGGAAAGTGATGCGAAATCCTCTTCTGGACACCACACAGCCATTGCTCTTGGCTACCCTTGCCGAGATTGGTTACCATGGCATCATGCACTGGGCAGGGTTTCATGAGGCCCCTCTTCTCACTGAGGGATTACAGGTAGGCAGGTAATCAGGTAGTAGGGGAGAGCATGCCATTTACTTCAGTGGTGTGGCCACTGATGTGTCACCATGCTCCACAAGGAAACTCAGCTTGTCAGAGAAAAATTGAAAAAAGGAAGGAGCTGCTGGTAGGACCAGGGTTTCAGTAGACAGTGGGTAGGTGATGGGAAGAAACAGGGCATTAGGGGACGAAAATGCCCCAGACTTGCTATATAATATGTGAAGTTGTCAAAGAATTAAAAAACGTGTGGCTAGATCTTCATGTTCAAGCCTTCTCGTGCCATCTCTCGTTCTTTCCTGATTTCATTCCAGTTTGTTCCGACAAGATAAAAACATTACCGTTTTTGCATTTGCTAAGACTTGACTTCTTTGCCAAAGTGTGCATTTTGGAGGACATTTATCTATCCATTGAGAAGAATGTTAGTTCTCTGTCAGATGGAATGCTTTCTGTGTCTTCTTAGTTAATGTAATCTATAGTGAAGTTTAAATCTGAAGTTTCTGTTTTTTTTTTTTTTTTTGTGTGTTCTTTTTTTTTTTTTTTTTTGGCTGCATGTTGATAAGGTGAGGTGTTCAAATTTCCCATCATCATTACATCTGACCCACCTATTTCTTTATGGGTAATAATCTTTCTTTTATGGAACTGGGAGAGCCGATATTCAGTGCACATTTATGTTGACAACCACCATATCTTTTTGATGAACTGTTCCCTTTATTGCTTCTAATTTTGCCTTGTGGTGATCTTTTAGGATGTGTGTGTGTGTGTGTGTGTGTGTGTACACACACACACAAATATAGATTTAGGACACATATTATTTAGAACACACAAGTATAGATTTAGGACACATATTATTTAGAACATACACACACACACACACACACACACACACACACGGCACTGTAGCTCACTCTCATGTTTCACCTTCTCATTACCTTATTTCCACATTTCCCTCTCTACCAGTCTGTGTTTATCAGGGCAAGCAAGTAGCATTCTCTCCGCCCCCCTCCCCCGCAACTAACTACACTCCATCCTCAGAGAATAGGCATCTGTTCACTTAAGCCAGCCTGCATCATTTGATATTAAAGAGTGCCTGCTGGCCATGCTTTGAGACAAGGTCTTATCTTGTAGCATAAGCTGGCCTGGAACCCATGACTCTTGCACCTTGGCCTTCTGAGTGCCTGGATTATAGGCTCTCAACATTCCACCTGGCTTTGGCTTTAGTACTCCTAGTCTTGTCACTGAGATGTTACATGGAGAGGTTTTGTTTCTGGTTATGTCTGTCTGTGGCTCTAAATGTCCTTTGCATACCACATCTTTATGAATAGCTAATTTTCTGCTGAAAATTAGTTGATGGGGCCTTTTGCACTTTCTACTTCTTCTAACCCTTGGTTGTTCATGTCAGGGTCCTCACACTCTCACACACTCTCTGGGACCTTGACTTAGTTTATAACATTAGTTTTTCTGTTTGAATTAGTTTGGTGAAGGCGCTTTCTACTGTAATTTTTATTTGGTCTTTTTTTTTTTTTTTTTTTTTTCCTCTCATTGCCAAGATTTTCATTTGGCTTTCCCTGCCCCAAATCACAATTCCTTTGCATTTAGAAAATTTGTTGTCATGGAAGATGCTGATTTTTTTTTCCAGCAAGATTCTTGTTGTTACATTGGAATTTAGATCTAGCAAAGAAGACAGGAGTTGAATTACATGAAGAGCAGTCCTTTGATAGTAAATGTTTCACAATTAGCCTGGGGAAGGTTTAGGTTCTTGCTTGAAAAGGTCAATATCTGAAGCAGCCAACAGGAAGTCACTGAATCTGAGGAAGGGAAAAGATGCAAGTTAGCCTTGGTCAGTTGCTTGCTGGCATGTCGCTAGGCTCTCTAAATGTGAGAGTAAACATTTGACAATGTCATAGGTCCTTGATGCAAATATGTCTTTTTTAGCATTGTAACTAGTTTTCCTTTGAATGAGTTTAGTCCATGAGATTGTTTCTAAGTCACATAAATATAGTCATACTTGGCTAAGATGTTTCATAACTAAACAAACAAACAAACAAAAAAACTCATTTACGCATCTCAAAATGATCCTAGGTATGCAACTCGCTCGGGGAATGTCATTGTAATGATGGCTACAGACCTCCAGACTGTACAGCAAGTAGCCGATCTGCCCTGTGGTTTAACAAGCCTGGCAAGTATTTATGTCTTTAAATAGCTATTGAGAAAAAGTTATAAATCACCCATTTAAATAAAGCCACATTTTGCCACCTGAGAAGAGACCAACAGTGTTTGGAATCAAAAGGCAATTAGGCTTTTCTCAAATAATGGGAGCAAATATTGGTCCAAAACCCTGCCCATCATTTCTATTAAAAGTGTGTGAGGCCAGCCAGGTGTCGTGATCCCATGCTACTTACTGTATCTGTCATTTGTGGGGTAGGTGTGTCTCATCATTTTTTCCAACTTGTGTGGGTCCTCAGCTTTAGACAATGTTTACTGCATGAAGTATAGTCATCATGTTTCTGTTATAGGAGAAATGACACAGAGGATGTAGACTTCAAGAAACAAATGGTAGATTTCACCCAGAGTTAATAACAGAGGAGCTACTACCATGACAGCCTTTGGTGTCTGTCATTCATGCACATATTAGATTTGAAAGTAGTTCTGGAACTCTCTTTCTGGTTTTTCAAGACAGGGTTTCTCTGTGTAGCCTTCCATGTCCTGGAACTCACTGTAGTCCAGGTTGGCCTTGAACTCAGAGATCCACCTGTCTCTGCCTCCTGAGTGCTGGATTTAAAGGTGTGCTCTATCACGCCCAGCTGGAACTCTCTATTTTATAATTGAAAATAGTTTTTATTTTCATTCAGTATATTCTAATGGTTTCCCCCTTCCAAGCCCTCCCAAATCCTCTCCATTTTTCCACTCACCCAAATTGACTCTTAGGATCTGACAGGCTCAGGTAGGCACTGTCAGCAAGCAAAATTTGGAGTTAACATTGGTGTCAAGTATCAAGCTTCTCAATTTTTATCTGGGCCCCTTCAGGGTAGTGCTGCAATCTCGTATATATAAATACAGCCCTCAGGTGAGAAGCCAATCACCTCTTCCCCTCAAAGGAGGTGACAGACAAGCACAATGAGATCTGTTGAGAACCCTGTAACAAGATCTGTTGAGAACCCTGTAACAGGGTCATTGTAATCAAACATGCATTCAGACCATTGGCTTTCCAGCACTAACAGGGTTCCAGTGTGGCTTTACTATAATTGCCAGGGTCTGTAGAATCCTCTGGAAACCTCTCAAACTTTTATTCTATGTTGTATCCTTAGATAGAGTTTCAAATTTTGTGGTACTAGAATTAGTTTTGTGTTCCTTGATTGGAAAAAAAAATAACCCAAAAAATATTTTAATGAATTTGTTGCAATTTGAAAGTGAATCACACTGTTTAATATTTCACATACCTTTTATTTTTAGATCTGAACATGCATGGACTTCCTAAGAACACAGAGAAGAAGTGGCTTCTAAGTTTGTACATTGTTTTAATTATTCTCACCTCAACATTACTAGTAGTGGGAGCATGGAAAGGCTTGAAACAGTGGCTTTTCAAGGAAGAGGAATCCCTGAGTAGCGAGTAAATTGAATTTACGTTCTGAAGTTACACTTTAGTAGCACTAGGACCTTGCTACATAAGATGTCAGGAGAAGCAATGATGTGTTTTCTTGGGATTTTGGGCACTATGTCAACATTTCATCTAATTGTGTGAGGCTTTTGTGAAAACCCTGGTTAATGAGAACTTTGGCAAACATGACCTGTTTGGGAGTGTGGTTAAAGCACCATAGTCACCATTGTGTTAGTCAAGCCATCCTCCTGTGTGTGCCCCAGGAAGCTCCAAGGTTACAGATATGCTTAGCTTTCTGCCTGGGTGTTGAGGCTCTGAATATACTTATTCCAAATGTTGTAACCTGGTTTTGTTTATGGCATGTTTACCAAAGACTTTTAAGCAGGCCATGTTCTACATTTGAGCACTCAAAGGTACCATAACTTCAAGTTTGCTAAGCCCCCTTTTGTCTATTGTTGGCTGTTTGCACATTAGAGGTTGCCCCAAACTCAAGTTTGTCTCAAGCTTGCAGTTGTGTGTTATTCTGCATGAGCTGGAAGAGTGTCTCTCATTGGCATTCCTCTCTAGGGCATGGTTGTCACTTTGAGATCCTGATTTCAATTCTTTTTAGAATGCCTCAAAGTAGGATTTGTGGATGGGATGGTTGGTAGTTGTGCTTTTAATTTCCAGGGAAACCATTCCAGGGAAATCCTTACAAGTACTTCATTTTCAGTGGGGCGGTGGTGGCACACACCTTTAATCCCAGCACTTGCGAGGCAGAAACAGGTGAAACTCTGTGAGTTCAAGGCCAGCCTGGTCTACAAAGCTACACAGAGAAATACTGTCTTGAAAAATCAAAACCAAAACAAGCATTTCATTTTCTCTCTATAGTTTCCACTCTCGACTTCTTCTCACCTTCTTTCTAGCCATCCTAACAGAAGTGGGTTTCTGGTACTGAAAATTCGTGTATCTTCTTTAGAAAAATACTTGCTCAAGTCCTTTGGGCATAGTTTATTTTGAGACAGGGTCTCACTATGTCATCCTGGCTGGCCCAGAGCTCTTTATAAAGATCAGGCTGGCCTTAAAGTCACAGAGATCTGATTTGTCTCTGCCTCCTACCTGCTGCAATAAAGCCTCAGTAGCTCTCATGGGCTGGCCTATTTTCTTTCCTGTGACCACTTGGTTCCCTAGATTCCTACATTTCCAGCTCCCTGTCTTCCTCTCCCTCCCTCCCTCCCTTCTTTCCTTTCTCCCTCCCTCCTTCCCCACCTCTGTCTCTGTGTGTGTGTGTGTGTGTCTGACTGTCTGTCTGTCTGTTTCTCGCACACACACTGCCAAAACTGTAGGGATAAGTGAAAAAGTAAATGCAGGAATTTTGTGTTCTCATTATTTCACTGCTTGAAATTGTGTTTTCTGTGCCCAAGGTATGTAAAAATATTGAAATGTCATTCGAGAGGCTGAGGGTGTAGCTAGTTGGCAGAGCACTTGCCTACCTATAAGAGATTCTATGCTCTGTTTCAACTACCATTAAAAAACTTCTTCTCATCTTTATTCAGATCCCATTGTGTATTTTATTTATTGGTAACAATGTTCACAAAGTTAAGATTTTAACTTTTTTTTTTTACTAATTAACATGTTATTTTCTGTTTCTTGCTAGAACCAAATCAGAAGGCAACACTCACACCTATACCAAGTGAGTACATTAAAAGGTGGCATAAGGAAAACATGTTGGAAATGAACAGCAAATTAATTCTAAATCATAGTAAAGCTTTAGACATCTTTAGCTCATAAGGTAGTGCTATGAAAAATCAGACTAATAATATGTAATAGTTTTGCTTTTAATAAGTCCTTCAGTTATTTACTAATTCTACCCTCCCCTGTCCTCCTGGCTGCAAAATCCTAAGGGATAAAATGCCAAGTCTAATAAGAGATGGGTGATGCTTAAGTCTGAAAGTGTAAGTAAGCCCCCAGTTATAATGCCTCCCTTTAGAAGAGTTGCCTTGGTCATGGTGTCTGTTCACAGCAATAAAACCATGACTAAGACACAAATGAAAATAAATCCATTTTGTGTATGTGTCACATTTCTAGCATCTGCTCATCTGTTGATGAACATCTAGACCACTTCCATTCTCTGAGTGTTGTGAATAGAGCAGCAATGAACATGGCTGAGCAAGAATCTCTGTAGGCTGGGAAGTGGTACCATTGGGTAAGGGTAGTTCAATTTCTGTATGTTTTAGAACCTCCACATGGATTTCCATGGTGGCTACCTCACTTACACTCCTGCCACAGTATAAGTGTCCCCTTTCCCCAGGTTCCTGCCCTGTTTGAGTTCCTTCCCTGAGTACCTTTGATGACGAACAGTGATGAGGAAGTATAAATCTAATAAACTCCGTTTTTCCCCAACTTGCTTTTTGGTCATGGTGTTTCACCACAGCATTAGAAACACTAAGACACAAATGAATATTATATCTAATTTAAAACAGTGATTTAATAGTTATTTTATTAATATCCCACATCTTTTCAAGCATCTTTAGTGGTATTCTCCTTCCTCCTACTCTAAGTCAAAGCTCCACCCCTGTTCTTCCCATTCCTCCCATTCATGGGGCCTGTGTCCTGCCATCCATTCCTCTAGAGCTCCTTTGCCTAACCCTATTTGGTCCCTTTGTACATTCATGGTTTCTGCAGAGGTCAGTGTTTCTCAACCTTCCTCATGCTGCAACTCTATAATACAGTCAATCTTGGTTGTGCTGACCCCCCCCCCCACCATAAAACTGTTTCATTGCTACTTGATAACTGTAACTTTGCTAGTGTTAAGAGTTGTAATGTAAATATCTGCTTTTTGATGGACTTGTTGATCACTGTGAAAAGGTGGTTTAATACCCAAAGGGTTGGGACCCATGGGTTGAGAACTGCTGTTCTAGGCTATACACTGTCATACGTATTTAGAGTTAGAATCCAAGTAGAGATCACATAGTATTTGTCTTCTGTGGGTCTGCAATTTTGGTATGTATGGAACTGAAGGTGGGAATTCTCCTGAGAGTTCAGTCTACTAGCTTACCCTAAAGTAGACTTAAATTTAGTTCACAACATGTAGCAATTCACATATGAAGCCAATAGAAGGATTACTTAGAGCAGTGGTTCTCAACCTGTGGGTGACCCATTTTGGGGTAGCATATCAGAAATGTACATTACAATTAATAACAGTAGCAAAAATTATAGTGTAAAGTAGCAACTAAATTATCTTATGGTTGGTGTCACCACAACATGAAGAACTGTGTTAAAGGATCGCAGCATTAGGAAGGTTGAGAACCATTGTATTGGAGTCTGAAGGGCAGGACTTAGTAACCCAGAGTCATATTTATATTCTGTGTTTTAAAGTGCTAACAAACAAAAGGTCTCTGTTGTTACCACACCCCTTTCCCTACAGAACTGAAGATTTACTATGTTTGTTACACTTGGTATGCTGGTGAACAATAATAGTGCTACTCACACATTTTAAACGTTTAGTTAGCTTGACATAGTATACATGGTCTGTTCTGCATTCTCAATGTGGATTAATTTACTGGTACTTTTAGATATGATTTTGATTTTTATTTAGGTCTGGGTCAGAATATAGTACCCAACCACAAAGCATCAGGTAAACATTTAGGAAGTATTGCCTATAAGTAAATAATTTTAGTTTGCAAATAATTGGTTAGTATGTTTTTGAATAGCCACAGTTGATAAAATGCATCAAAACAAGCATTAATATTTGTCAATCTAGGAACAAGTATTAATTAACTGGTTTTTCTTCAGTTGGTTGAACCTTACTTGATTGCCTGCTTTTGTGATATGTAGGCACAATACCATTGTCCTAGTTAGCATTTCTATAGCTGTGAAGAGATGACTCTGGAAACTCTTACAAAGAAAAACATTTAATGGGGTGGCTTGCAGTTTTAGAAGTTTAGTCCATTGTAATCATAGAGTGACATGGCAGTATGCAGGTATACATAGTGCTGGAGAGGCAGCTGAGAGTCTTACATCTTGACCCATAGTCAATAGGAAGTGAACTGAGACATTGGGAAGTATCTTGAACATATGAGACCCCAAAGCCTGTCCCCACAGTGACATACTTTCTCCAACAAGGCCATACTTAATTCAACAAAATCACACCTCCTAATAGTGCCGCTCCCTGTGAGCTTATGGAAGCCAATTACATTCAAACTACCACAACTAGTAAAATGTCACAAGATAGAAAAGGATAATTAGTTGGAAAAACAGATGTCACTACTCAGTTTACATTGTAATTATCCCAAATATGAACAACTGTGATGGGAGATACCATTCTGTAAATATGTTTCTCGTATTGGTTAATTAATAAAGCACTGTTGGCTGATAGGAAAGCAAGATAGGCAGGACTAGGAGACGAAGAGAAGAGAGGAAGGAGTAGGGAGGAGATCCAAGATGGTGGACTGAGAGAGAAAAATGCCAGCCCCTCTCTCCGGTAAGATAAGACCACTTGGAAGTACTTAGATAATAGAAATGGGTTAATAATTAAGACAGCACTAGCTAATAAGAAATGATAGTAACAGGCCAACAGAATCATTTATTTATTTATTTATTTATTTATTTATTTATTTATTTATTTATTTATTTTACATGTTGATCCCAGTTCCCTCTCCCTCACTTTTACTCTCTCTGCCCTCTCACAAGCACACTAACCACCCTCCCCTCCCATCCCCCCACCCCAATTCCATATGTAGGGGAATGCCATCCAGTTGGGGTCATGTAGATCTGACAGGTCATTTGAAGTAGGGACTAGGACTTCTCTCCTGTCTCTAGGTTAAGGGAGTATCCCTCCATGGGGGGATGTGTCCGCAAGGTCCTTTTGTGCACTAGGGATACATCCTGGTTCCACTGTCTGAGGTCCCTTAGACTGCTCAGTCCTTCTAGCTGAGACCCATATTCAGGGGGGCCTGAGTCAGTCCCATGCTGGATTCACAGCTATCAGTCTCGAAGCCCATTAGCTCCTCCTTGCTCAGGTCAGCTGTCTCTGTGTTTCTGCAACCTGGTCTTGTTCTCTCCATCTGCATCTGGATTCTAGTTCAACTCAGTGTTTAGGTATGGGTGTTTGCTTCTGTTTCCAGCAGGTATTAGACAAGAGCTCCATGGATAAGTTAGTTGTTGATCTCACTATCCAGGAAGGGCATTTATGGTAGACTTTTCATGGAAGCTCAAATTGTTAGTTGGCAGCAGACTTGTAGGTCTCTAGACCTTTCTTTAGGTTCAGTTTTCTCTTCAAATCAATATTGGCTCCCTCTTTTATGTTCTCTCTCTCTCTCCTGTCTCCTATTCCTACCCTGACTCAATCTTCCTAGTCGCACATGTTTTCCTCTCCTCCCCCTCTCTTTCTCCTACCTCTCTCTCCATTCACTGCCCCCCCACTTCCCCTGTGCTCTGGGGGACTTGTCTTTTCCCCCTTCTGTGAGGGACTTTATATGACTCTCTTAGAATACACCTTGTTTTTTTTTGTTTTGTTTTTTTTTTTTTTGATACAACTAATGACTATAAAACACAAAGACGAGACTCAGCGCCCACGTGGAGTTTATTGAGAGAAGGGAGAGAAAGGGGGGTAGCCCATGGCCAACCGAAGCAGGGGAGAGGGGAGAGAGAGAGAGAGAGAGAGAGAGAGAGAGAGAGAGAGAGAGAGAGAGAGAGAGCAGAGAGAAAGACCAAGAGAGGGCAAGAGGGAGGACTGCTTGGCTTGCGCATGCTTAATTGAGTCCTCTGGCAGCCAGGTAAAGCTTGAGCAGCCAGGTAAAGCCTAACATAGTGATGACATGGCCATAAGCATCCCGCCCATCATCAGGGGAGGGGGTCAGCAGGCTGCTGATTCCCAGCACACCTTGTATACTAGTTCTCTGGTGGTGTGAATTATAGGCTGGTGATCCTTTGATCTAGGTCTAAAATCCATATATGAGTGAGTACATACCATGTTCCTCTTTTTGTGACTGCATTACCTCATTCAGGATGGTTTCTTCAAGTGCCATCCACTGGCCTGCGAATTTCAAGATACCATTATTTTTTTCTGCAGAGTAGTATTCCATTGTGTAGTAGTGCCACATCTTCATTATCCATTCTTCAATTGAGGGGCATCTAGGATGCTTCCAGGTTCTTGCTATTATAAATAATGCTGCTATGAACATAGTTGAACAGATGTCTTTGTTGCATGGATGTGGATCATTTGGATATATGCCTAAGAGGGGGATTGCCGGGTCCTGTGGTAAACTAATTCCCATTTTCCTGAGGAATGGCCATACTGATGTCCAAAATGGCTGTACGAGTTTGCACTCCCACTGGCAGTGGAGGAGTGTTCCCCTTTCTCCACATCCTCTCCAGCATGAGTGTTTCTAATTTTAGCCATTCTGGCAGGAGTAAGATGGTATCTCAAAGTTGTTTTGATTTGTATTTCCCTGATAGCTAAGGATGTTGAGCACTTTAAGTGTCTTTCAGCCTCTTTGATTTCCTCTATTGAGAATTCTTTCTTCAGTTCTGTACCCCATTTTTTAATAGGGTTATTTGGTGTTTTGTTGACTAGTTTCTTGAGTTCTTTGTATATTTTGAGGATCAGCCCTTTGTTGGATATAGGATTGGTGAAAATCTTTCCCCAGTCTGTGGGCTGCCGTTTGGTCTTGTCCACTGTGTTCTTTGCCTTACC